ATAAAATCATAACATAATTAATGGATAATACACACGCATCCACAAGAAACAGCTGCTTCTACACGAACACACAATCACATGCTGTTCATGTGATTGTACCTGTACCTGTATCCCTCTTTATTATAAGGACCTCTCCTTAATACATGTACAGTGCAGCCTCTTTATTAAGGACACCATTGGGCCCACACTACCTGTCCTTAATACATGTACAGTGTAGCCTCTTTATTAAGGACACCATTGGGTCAACACTACCTGTCCTTAATACATGTACAGTGTAGCCTCTTTATTAAGGACACCATTGGGTCCACACTACCTGTCCTTAATACATGTACAGCGTAGCCTCTTTATTAAGGACACCATTGGGCCCACACTACCTGTCCTTAATACATGTACAGTGTAGCCTCTTTATTAAGGACACCATTGGGCCCACACTACCTGTCCTTAATACATGTACAGTGTAGCCTCTTTATTAAGGACACCATTGGGCCCACACTACCTGTCCTTAATACATGTACAGTGTAGCCTCTTTATTAAGGACACCATTGGGCCCACACTACCTGTCCTTAATACATGTACAGTGTAGCCTCTTTATTAAGGACACCATTGGGCCCACACTACCTGTCCTTCATACATGTACAGTGTAGCCTCTTTATTAAGGACACCATTGGGCCCACACTACCTGTCCTTAATACATGTACAGTGTAGCCTCTTTATTAAGGACACCATTGGGCCCACACTACCTGTCCTTAATACATGTACAGTGTAGCCTCTTTATTAAGGACACCATTGGGCCCACACTACCTGTCCTTAATACATGTACAGTGTAGCCTCTTTATTAAGGACACCATTGGGCCCACACTACCTGTCCTTAATACAGAGGTGTCCTCATTTCAGAGGTACTTTTGTATAGGTCTGTACCAATTGGGACATTACAAAATGTCCTCATTATAAAGGTGTCCTCATTATAAAGGTGTCCTCATTATAAAAGTGTCTTAATTCATGACATAACTGCTGGTTAATCATTTCCTCACAAAACATTACTAATAATTATTATACTGTAGAAATAAACCATATGTTCTGATAGTACACTATGGAGTGGTGCCTCTCTTCTCTGCAGCTGTTACGTTTAAATCTTGTAATGTTTTATCCTCTCCTACACTAGTCATTCTCTTTATTCTTTGCCGCTTCTCATACCGGTATTATATTATTTAAATATTGTTCCTTTTTGTTGTAGCTCTCCCCCTGTCTCCCCCTTTGCTTCTGTCTC